AGTTTCCATGATCTTCTAATTTCGGATTTTTCTCTGTCTTTTTTTCTGGCACTTCAGTCTTCTCGTTGATCTCTAATATTTATACTTTTCGCATAGCTTCGCTTAAATCGTGATACAGAACCTATCTCTGACCCTTAGAAGCCGAGATTCCCAGAATTTCTTTCGCTACTGCGGCAATCCATGGCACACGTCATCTGCAGCTCGTATGGTATATTCGCCGAGAATATATTGAGTGCGTGCTGTCGTTAATATCGCTTGTTCGTGTACCGTGCAGCGAACGATTCTCGATCCGGATAACGAGGACGCCATCGTCACATCCACAGCCAAGAAAAGCCTACGGCTCTCTAACGAGTTTCCCAGTCCAGTGGCCCGCCCACGGAATGACCGCTTGGCACCGCCTGAGGCACATGATAGGCAGGGGGAAGCCGGCAGGGTACTATATATGAGGACCCAGCGACTCCAGCCTCAATTAGCCGGACGAGCTCTGACTGGAGCAAAGTCCTGGTCGCGCCAGCGGAACGGGGGTCCGCAGCACACCTCCGCATGACTACATTCGTGTGCTCTCGTTCCGGCACTTCCCCTTTCGGACAGGTCCTTGGCGGGTTTTGTTTCACGCCCTGCCACGCCAACGGCTCACCGCGACGATCGTGGGATCGCCTTGGTTCGGCCACAAGCGCCCTAAGTCGGCATGGGGCACTTATACGTTACAACTTACAAGCTCCCTCCCTAGCCGCCTTGAGCCTTACTTGTCTGTCTGGCTTACGCATACGCGCTTTCAGGCAGGAATATGCCAGGAGTCGCGGGCCGTGTAACTCCAACTCGGTGCGGGCCTTGGCGATGTCAATGGTGGAACAACAACGGTGGACTTGGACGTCCATCGGCCCGGGAAGGATAAGACGCCGCGAAGGAGGAGGCAGATGTTCGTTGTCGCGGGAGTAGAAAAGCGCAGAGATCGCCCAGTCTTTCTGCTTGGTCCTGGATTCTGAGGGCGTGCACAGATCGATCTACATCCTCGAATAACTGCATCTCAAAGGGACTTAGGAGGAAAACAGTCGTCAACATGAAGGGCCTTGCTACCGTCGCTGCCATCTCGGCACTCGCCAACTCTGTGTCGGCTCACTACATCTTCGAGACCCTCACCGCTGGATCGACCAAGTTCGATGTCTACCAGTACAGTATGCGGCCCCAGGGATTCCATTCGCGATGGTGTTGATCTCTCAACTCGAAAATAAAGTTATTGCGACGAGAGGCTAACAAAGACGGTGGCCAATAGTCCGAAAGAACTCCAACTACAACTCCCCCGTGACAGGTAATAACACCCCCATTATTCTACCTACCCCTTGCAGATCAATGGTGATATACTGACATAATTCTAGACTTGGCCTCCAACGACCTCCGATGCAATGTCGGCGCCACCGGCAGCGGCACTGAGACCATTGCGATGACCGCCGGTGAATCCTTCAGCTTCACCCTGGACGTCGCTGTCTATCACCAGGGACCTACCTCCATGTAAGACTCGCGCTGCTCACCAAAGACTGAATTTCCATCAACTAACCTCTCCCGTTCTCAGCTACCTATCCAAGGCCCCCGGTGCCGCCGCAGACTACGACGGCAGCGGAGAGTGGTTCAAGATCAAGGACTTCGGCCCTACCTTCAGCAACGGCCAAGCCACCTGGCCCCTCCAGCGTAAGAATCTCCCTCCTCTCTTCGCACTCTGTAAGAGGAGACGAAGAAGAAAAAGAAGAAAAGGAGCAAGAAACTAAAAATCTTTCTACAGAGACGTACACGTACACCCTGCCCAAGTGCATCGAGAACGGCGACTACCTCCTGCGCATCTCGCAGCTCGCCATCCACAACCCGTGGCCCGCGGGAATTCCCCAGTTCTACACCTCTTGCGGTATGTCACGCCTTCACCTCCTACCCGCACCTCACCCCGGCTGTTATGGCGTGTAAGTAGGAAAACTGACATGTGGGATTGTTTATAGCTCAAATCACCGTCACCGGCGGCACCGGCAGCGCGAACCCGCAGAACGTCCTCATCCCCGGCGCCTTCAAGGACACTGACCCGGGATACACCGTCAACGTAAGTTTTTCCTCTTGTGCACACTTAATTTAAAGACGAAAGAAGAACAGAATGTTAATATGCTCATGTGTTACAGATCTACAACAACTTCCAGAACTACACTGTTCCCGGCCCTGCTCCCGTAAGTCGTGCACCCGAGCAAGTACTTTGGGTATCTGTGATGCTAACGAATCACTAGCTGACTTGCTAAATTACAAATACCGAGAGAGAGGGATAGCGTGCTGGTCGGGCCGTGAAGCGCAATCGACAATTTAGCACTGCTTCCACGGCTGGTAGCGACGTTGTAGGAGAGCGGATGTTTATGCGTGCGTGCACGACTCGCTAAATGTCGTTGCAAGGGGAGGACGAAGAAATGAACGAGATGAACACCTATAACAAGCAGCAGCCTGCTTGCCATTCTATTTGTATATATTGATCCAACATAACAACAACTATGTGCATATTCCACTAAGCCGGGTCTCAGCCCTTCGTTTGTGCTCAGCGAATGCGGTTTTGGTAGCCACTCAGAGAGTCTAGATGACCTCAGTATATTTCAACGCCTCCCGCCGCCCACGTTCTATAGCTTACAAAAGTCACAGTACCTATACGCCACACCACAGAGATACCGAACCACTTATGCCTCAATCGCCTTCTCCTTGATAGATGGGAATTAAAAAATTATGCAAACACGCACGCCAACGTTCCCTAGCCAAGTCGGGCATAATAATTACGACGAGCCAATCTCGACCGGCGATCGCGGGAAACCCGCAAGTTCGGCGCGGTCGTCCGGAGTCCCCCGAATCCAATTCCAATTCATGCGCAAAGGCCTGAATTCCGGGGACCTGGGCTCTGGACGCTGGACGTTATTGTGGATTGTGGGCTGCTGCCGCCGCCGCCGCCGCCTTATCCGCCAGAAACAGAATGCTATACCGGCTAGGAATATCACGGCGAGCAAGGCAATGACTATGCTAGCTATTGTAACCGAGAGCCCTGAGTTGTCTTTACTCCAGTGGTTAGGAACAAGACTGGATGAAGGCGATGGGGCAGTATCGCTGCTACTACTACTGCTGCTGCTGCTGCTGCTGCTGCTGCTGCTGCTGCTGCTGGTCGTCTGGCTCGCTGTAGTAGTTGTTGACGTGTCTGGCAGATCCGATGCTTGATATACGACCTGAATGAGAGGAGCGGTGATGCTGAAGCTCTCATAACGTGACGAACCCAGTGTCTGGCCGACAGAGAACATCTGGTAGGTCGGACCGTCCGTGCCACAGTTGCCGACAAGAAACGATGTCGTTGGGTTGCGCTGGGCACATATCTGAACTCCCCAAGCGTCATGAACTGCTGTGAACCCGCCCCTACCGCCACCGTGAGGTGTCTGAGTCAGCTCGTTTGTTGTAAGTAAATCGTCGGCATTCTCCGATTCAATAGTGCAGAGATCAACAAGCCCATCATTCTGAGTTTGTGATACGGACTACTAGCGATCTACTCCCATAGCTCCTCATGATATCCATTCTATTCCTCGTATGAAAAGAGATTGGAGAGTATAATTACTCACACCGGGCAGCACCCAAGTGCCGTTTCCCCAACGGTCACGGGAAACTGAAATTCGAAATCAAGCATATCCCCGCTACTCAAGGCTTATGGTTAGCCATTATCCAAGTGAGCTAGGGTGCAGACGCTCGTATCGCGGGTTGATCACGTAGTAGGCAATTATCGACAGCTCTGTAGCCGGCGCAAGATCTTAGATCAGGAATGGAAAAAGCCTTTGTCATTCAACCTAATACATACTGCGTTGTTGCGGCGGCAGATGTGTAGCCGCCAGGGCAGACGATTCCAGGCGAGTAGACGCCCCAGCCGCTGAGAATCCCGCTCTTGGACGGCAGGTTGGCGGCTCTCGGAGGCCAACATTGCTCATCATCATCCGCGCCGCCATGTCTACATGTCTGCGCGGCCCATCCAGAATTACAGCCATCACACCTCTGAATGAGATCAGTGCATGAGAATGTCCAAGTGGCGGTAGTCAATGGTCCTAGATTAGTTCGCACTGTGCCCGATATGGTTGGTGTTGCCATGGGCAAATATGAGTAGATTAGTAACGCGCGTGAGAGGATAGCGAGAAGGAAGAAATGGTTTCGGAAGTTGTGAAATTGATTGTGATCGCAAAAGGAAGAGTGCTTTCGACGAGGAAAAGAAATACGAGCGGAGGTTAAGTCAAAAGCGCATATCAGGGGTTTTGTGGCTTGGGTCTGAATCCGAACCCCCATAAAAGGGGGCGGTTTCATATCAAACTTAGCATCTTGAATGCCAATCACTTACTCGTCTCGTGCCAATGTCGCTATTCTGGCAAAATCATAGGCCCCCCAACAATAGTCGGGGACTATTCTATGGCGCTCTGTCATGGTCAACAGGGGCCGAATTTGACCCGGCGAGTAGGACACTAGATATCCAACTACCACGAGATGAAGGACTGGATCTATATTTGGAGACAACGGCCCAATACATACCGGTAGTTCTTCCGTTGCTGTTACTGCAGCGCGGTATGTTTTGATCTATAACGAATGCCGAAAGTGTGTGTGTAGATTATGATGCGAAGTGAAGAAGGGAAGGAACAAAACCACGAGGCGGGCTGCCGTGGAGAAGCTAGAGTCGTATTGACCTTGTAGCATGGCTGAGAGAGGAATTTAGGCAGGGATTATGGGACGCAATTTTAGAGATTCCCACGAGAGCCTGCGCTGACTCATCGGAACAGGGGCTCTGGCAGCCAGGCCTCTCTAAATGGTAGATTGCTCCCGCCTCGTCAACGCGGTAATTATGCTGCGCGATCCATAACTTATAATAAAAATTTAAATGAACTAAACTTCGGTCAGGTAAAGGAGTTTTGTGGGGTGAGTAGATGAAGGGGCCCTTGAGAAGGAAAAGGAAAAGGAAAAAAAAAAAAACAGGTCGGAGGCTGGGATCGAACCAACGCTTCTTGCCTTACACGGTCGTCGACCAGCCTCACCAAGCGTGCAACCACTACACCACACCGACCTACAGTACAGGGTTCTGTTGTTTTAAATTATAAAGCCCTTCTTGTAGTAGGCCTATATCAGATCGGAGGGCTTGAAACTTAACAATATACATCATGAGAGCGCAAAAGTACATGCACTACGAAGACAGTGAAATAATACAAGATAACGCGGTGATTATACTTCAACTCGGCAGCTGGGAGAAAAAGCCATGGCTGTGGAATTGAAAGCAATATAAACATTCATACTACACTAATACCTACATAAAGAGTGTGCCCCCTATTGGTGTGATATTCTTCTAGGGTAGCCCCCCTTTTCCCTCGCCACTCTCTAGCCGGTCAGCCCCTAATTGTGCCACTTACATGATATATGAGGTCCATTAACCGCAACGATGGAAGATTCAGCACACTGATATTAGCCTATTATGATTGGGAGATTAAATTTAGCCTTGCCCCCAGAACTCAATGTTGTCGACATCGTGGAGGACGTGGAGGACGTGGACCATGTGAACGATGTGGATGTAGAGGTTATGAGCATCATATTTGATCTAGAAGTTGGTGCCGTACGCGTGCTCTCCGCAGGTAGAGAAGAGGAATATAGGCAGGGACTACCTACCTTTGGGACGCATTAATAGGAATTCGTACGAGAGCCAGTACTGTGCCAACATATCGCGGCAGTTGCAACCGCCCCAGACCCCGCCGTACCTACCCACCCCGAGACCGTATGGAACACGCAAACACGTAGCCACCGGGCTCCCGGTTTATTATCCGTGACAGACGTGTCTACGATACAGGAGTGGTGTAGTTGGTGCACATTCGGTAAGGCTGGTCGACGACCGGTAAGCCGAGAGGCGCTGGTTCGATCCCAGCCTCCGACATCTTTTTTTTTTCTTCTCCCTTTTCAGGGCCCGCTGTACCTACCTCCCACCCCGAGACCGTTTAGAACACGCAAACACGTACCTAAGCCACCGGGCCCCCGGTTTATTATCCCTGATAAACGTGTCTACGATACAGGAGTGGTGTAGTGGGTGCACACTCGGCGAAGCTGGACGACATCCGGTAAGGCGAGAGGCGCTGGTTCGATCCCAGCCTCCGACATTCTCTTTTTTTAAAAAAATCCCTTTTCAAGGAGCTCTCGTAAAATTCTTTTGCTTAACCGAGGTTTACGTTGTTTGTGTTTTTATTACATGTTGCGGATCATGTAATATAACGCGTTGATGAAAAATGTACGCTGTTGCCTTGTATTTTGATAACATGTCGACCGTCTACTTACCCTTAGCAGCCAGGAATGTCACTTAGGTTGAAAAAGGGAGGGAGGAAAGCAATATGAAAATGAGGTCGTCGAGAATATCCTAATAACACCTGCCAAGCTTCAGTAAAGATACTTATAAGATGACACGCAAGAAAAGGTCAAGGCTATCAACAACTAATCATTAACAAGGAAATTCCATTTCATCATTGAAGCATTATCTACCCTCGGGTAAGTACATATATGTGTTCCACGACCTTCTCTCTATGCAAAGCGCGCTCGTCTATGCTGCATGTAATTTATACCACCGCCCCCAGGTCGTATTGGGGGCAAAAACGCGCTCATGCACAATTCGTATCTAATCAATCTGGCAGAACTGAAACCAGAACCCTTTCGTAATCTTCATGAGAAGTAAGAATAAACAAATAAACAATCCATAGGGCTTCTACCCAGAAAACAACTTCTCTTGCTGATTATGAAGCCCGCCTTCGTTACCGATTGGGTGTCGTCAGATAGCAGGATATAAAGCAGATAACATCAGTACCTTCCATGCCTGTAACGCCTGCGCTGGTATGCCGAGACAGTTTATGCGCAATGAAAAAACAATGAACAGCCGATCAGTAGGGGACGAGGCAGCCACGAGCAGCATTGGTATATGGGCCTTTGCCCGGAGAACGAGCTCCGTCGAAAATATAGTAAATGATGGGGCGCCGACGGCAGATAGGTGTAGACCATCCATCGCGGGTGCTGTCTATTCCGTGCAACTGCGAAAGGCGCTCCCTAAGAGTTGCTCCTGGGCCTACCTCCACTGGCCCCGAGCAGCTCGCTGGCATTGATACTGGCTTCCATTTCTGCAAGCTCGCTCTTCTTCACGATCAGCTCTGGATCGATCTCATCACCTCCAACAAATGTCCAACTCTCTTCTTCTGATTCGTCACCACTCGGTTCATCAGGATCGCCGGCCGTCGCAGCGTTCTTACCCACTTTCGAAGCCACAAGGCTCTTTGCGTATTCGAGATCTCGGTATATAGACTGAATTGCCGTGTTGACACCGTCTTCCTGTTACGGGTTAGGGAGTGACCATGAGCCTGAAAGCAGAAGGGTATATAAAAATTAGAATGGAATCATCATGGGTACGAACCTTGCGAATCGTCTCGCCTAAGACCCTGGCCTTGGCGATCATTCTACTGCTATGCGTGACCTCCCAAAGTGCCTTCGCGAAGCTGTTAGCTCCCCATTTTTTAAGACATATGCCTACGCCGAGGTCTTCGACTCGGTTTCCGAAGAAGAATTGGTCGCCGAAGAATGGTCGTATAATCGTTGGGATGCCCGCTCGCAGGCTGGCACCGGTTGTCCCGGACCCTCCGTGGTGAGCGGCTGCGTCAATTTGGCGGAATAACCAATCGTGTGGTGCACTCTTGATCGAGAAGATCTCCGGTGGGAAGGGCTGCTCCGTCGCGGCGGCCTGCGGTTTATCTAATCGGTCCGACCATCCTTTCGATAAGATACATCGTACGTCGGCTCTGAGCACGCCATCAATCACCTCTTTTGTCATCTTGTCTGGGTCCGGCACGATGATGGATCCGAAACCAACGTAAACGACAGGTTTCCCGTCCCTTCGGGCTCTGCTGATGAAGTCCCTCAGATCATCCGGAGGAGTCCAATCCAACCCCTCGTCCAAGAACCAGTAGCCCGTCACGCGAATCCAGTCGCTGTAATCCAGCGGAGGTGCTACTACAGCAGGCGAGAAGTTGTAGAGAAATGGTACTTTGTTCGGTTGCATCTTTTCCAGATTCGTGTTGGGAAGCCCGAGGACGCTGTTCCGCCAGCGGTTGACCTGGTGCGCAGTGGCTTTCCAAAACACGTTGTCAAACATGACGTAGGTCACGTAATTATACGCGCCACCCATTTTGTTCTCGGGCACGATGAACGCATGTGGGTAGGCACGCGTGCGCGTCCATGGCATGGTGAAGGCTCGGAAATACGGAATATTGAGTGCTTCCGCAATATGAATACCTGCCATGGCGCTGGGACTCTCAATTAGAAGATCTGAGCCCTGGCATGCCGTCCATGCCGACGCCAATAGCCCATCCAGCCAACCGCGGAAATTGGTATTCGCTTCACGCAGGAAGGCCCAGGTGAATGTACCGTTCTCGATGCATATACGAAGAAGTTCGCTGGGATCACCGGCGACCGGCGCAAACTCAATGCCGTGCCCTTCTATCCAGTCTCGAAATTCAACATGGGTAGCTATCCGAGGTTCGTGGCCCTCGGCGATTAACCCCTTACAGAGCGCAATATACGGCTGTACATCACCCCTTGAGCCGATCGTCAGGCAGGTGATTTTCAAAGGCTCCGGAGGCTTGAAGTTGAGAAATGATGCCCTAGGATCATCGAATAAAATAGTAGGTGATGACTCGGAAAGACCCGGCGTTTCTTGAGGCATCTTCACTTCATGTTCATTACCCTCTAGTAAACGTGCCTCGTTGAGCGCGTCATGTTCTGCAAGTGCCTTATCCTTTTCTTTTGTCGAGTCTTCTTCGAGAAGCCCAGCTTCCCGTAGATACCTGATTTTCTCAAGATTCTGCAGCAAAGTGACAGCACAATCGTCGCGGACATCAGTCTGGCTGAATTCGAAAAATATTTCTTCATGCCCCCGGATGACCACCACCAGACCAGAATATCCGAAACGAAAACCCATTTCTTTATCGGCGGTTTCGATATCCTTGAGCGGGAGAATGAGTTTCGTTCGAGTGCCTGGCAATAAACTGCGGAAACAGAAATTCCGATCACTAATGTAAATCTTACCATATAGTGGCAAGACACGAATGATGAATCCGAAATAGGCAGCCCGAAGTTTCTCTGTTTCGGGTAGAGCGAAATGCGCACGAAAGCGTTGCATGGCTGCTACGTGTTTTGCGTCTAGACTGGTGCTCTCATCGACACCTGTCTCATCAATTTGAAGGCCTGGCAATCCCTGGTAATGCGTTCTACCCCCTTTCCACATACCCGAAACTTTTTCCACATATCCCATAGACTCGGTTGCCAACAGGTTGCTCATCCGACGGCCTGTCTGGTTCAGGTAATTTGCAAACAGACCAGCTCTCTGCAGAGGGTAGGTGCCCATTTTAGCAAGGCTCTGGAGTGTCGGCGTTTTCGCTCGATCTGGTCTTTCTGCAACTCCAGTAGAATTGTTATTATGGCCAGCTGTCGAATCGCGATTCAGCTGTTGCGTCCTTTCATGGGATGGTTCTTCGAAAGCAGCTTCGTCAGATGTCTTAACTGCACCGCTCATCTGAGAGAAGGAATTGGAATGGCGGACGATAGGCCGATGGAAAACCTCGCTGCCTCTGAGAATCTGGCTGCCCGATGGATCCTCATTTGACGAAGCTATGAAGCCAGATATACTGGGGTCTTCGAGAGATTGGACAAAGGAATCCGACGATCCATGGATTTCTTGCGATGCAGAGCTGTCATACGGGTGATTTTGCCAGGGCGATGGATAGCCGCTAGAGTTCCGTCTTGGGAAGCCACCAGGCACGGGATGCTCGGGGTCCATACCCCTTCCCATGGATTCGGTGGCTATGTCATGACCAGGCCGGGAGGATAGCGTAGTCTGAACATTCTCACGAATATTCCGAGACTTTTTTGATTCCTCGTTGTTATCGTTATTCTCGCGGACAGAGTCTTGTACAATTGTTTTCAGCACATTTATGGCTTCGTTGCTGAAGCTGAAGAAAGAGAAAAAGTACTAGATCGCGTTAGTCGGATATCTTCAGACGGCTTCCGATGAATGTACCTCGTCAATAGAATAGGTCTGCTCGCTATCTATGACTCGAACTTTGCAGGTATCAGCAAATTCTATCATTTGACTGTCCTCGACATCCAGTATATCGTCGATGGGCAGAGCAATTTTGACACTGTCGCCTTCGTTATGGGATCGGAAGATGACGCGCTGCAGACTTTTCACCCATTCTTTGGCGTTCGGGGCGCTATCAGCTCGGAAATGATAGGTTCTATTATGAGTGACAACCGAAAAGTGAATGCCATCCTGATCCTTATCGGTAATGTTTGCGGAGATGGCATAGCGAAGATCTATCTGTCCATGGGGAAAATACAGGTTGGATGCGTCGCGAAAGTATGCTAGAACATCACCCTTTAGGCGGAACCAGAATCGATTATACTTAGGATTTCTCTTGCCGCTTTTAGAGAGGAACCCCGATTTCGCGACCTCGTGCTATCGCTTGTGTTAGAAGGATCAACTCAACGCCGGGGTCACAAACAGTGCATGACTTACAGTTTTCTTGGGCAAATACGCATAGAAGCAGACATGCCTCGACGTGATGTACAAATAGCCCTGGAGAAGGACGCTCTGTAGCAGCCAGCATGGGTATTCTAGTCTCATGATCAGCAGCGTGCCATCCGAAGCATCGGCGCATCGTACCTTCAATGACCTCCTCGGGATGGTCGAACCCAAATATCTCCTTCAGTCTCTGGGCAAGGGCGCTAGGCCCCGTTCCATCTCCGTCGGCCTGTTTATCTCTTGACAACCCTTCCAGATCAAAACTGGGACGCGACGACATCTCTGCCCTGGCCTCCAACATGCGGCTCATGACGGGCGCCGGTCGTTCGTCTTGATCGGACGTATCGGCTTCTATGATCGGCGACACGGGCTCGATAGCAGGAGTGATAGATATCGCGCCGTTATCGTTACTCGCGCCCGAGGGCAGCGAGGGATTGACTAGTTTCGATCGGCTACTTAAATGGCGCGGTAGCTGAGGTAGCGAGTGTAGAAGTTTCCTAGCTGCTCTCCGTCTCTGTTCCTCGTCAACAGTGTTTTTCTCTTGAC